GTTTTTTGTGCTTGTGGAGAAGTCCACCTCCCAAAACCTCTGCGCGCGCGCGGACACACACACACACACACACACATGGAAAAAGGAAACCATTCCCTGTCTGGGAGCTGTAAGACTTTTCTCAGCTTTCCCGAGGCGCGGAGATTCGGCCTCCAGCCTGCCTGAGCCCCAGCTGGTCTCGGTTCCAGGAACCTCAGCTCCCGCGCCCGCAGCTGGCTCTCCCCGCCACGCCTTTGCCTCTGCTCCTTGGATACGGTGAACCCAGGCTCGAGTCCTGGGGCGCTGCCTTCGAAGAGTCATCCCTTCCAGAACTGAGAAGGGGAGAGTAAACGGGTGTGGGGCAGGGGGCGGGGGAGAGTTCGAGGAAGCGAAGGAGGTAGGCGTGGTGCAAACGCTTCGCCATCCCACGTGGGGGCCACCCGGGAGGGTGACGAGAGCGGCCGCTGCAGGTGGCAGTGGGCACCTGTCAAGGGGCGCCTTGCTGGCTCCCAAGCTCGGGGAGCAACGGAGGCTGTGGGCGCTGTCGCCTGCTCCCTAGCCACCCGTCCAGACCCCTACCCTGAAGGGCCCTGACTTTGCGCAGCTTCTGCACCTCTCTCCTCTCCAAGGGAGGAGTTGTTGTCCGCCCGCACCCCACCCCCCCACCTCCGACCCTCCCACTCCGGCCGCGCACCTCGGAGGTTCGGAGCTGCGCAGTGCGGTACCCGCGCGCTGGACCACAGAGGTCGCTGGCTGAGCCGAGGGGGCGCCAGCCTCTGGGCTGTTGGCTCTGCCTGAGCTGCTAGTCCGTATGCTGCTGGCTGCTGGGGACCCTCAGAGCGGACAGAACTGCTTTTACCGTTGGGGGCCCTTCCAGAGTCCCCTCTGCGTCGGCCGTCTGGATAATTATTAATCTTCGGACTGACGGGCTGCACGCTTCTGGCATCTGCGTCTCGTCAGAAACCCGAGGGTTGGCTGTGTAAGTCCAATTGCTAATTCCGATACACCTGCTAGGAACCAGAATGTCCCAAACCGAGCACTCTGGGGTCTTATGAAGGGAACCTGCTTGGGGAGGTCTTAACAGGTGCTGGGACTCTTTCTTCAGGTTTAAGTGGAAGGAAGAGATACAGTCATTCCATTTCACACTCTTGAAATAATTTCCCTTTTCTATTGGAGAATCTTATTTCCTGTATGGTATAGAGACCGGTCATTTTCTTACCAAACCGCTAAGTTGTCACTGTTTCTGTGTCTATTGTGGAATGGAAAGAGAGGGAGAAAGAGAAAAGGAGAGGGAGAGACACCTGGAGAAGATTGTATTGGATGCTCTGAAGTGGCTCAAGAACAGGCACATTTATTGAAACACTGGCTCCTCTTTCCTCCACAAGGGCTCACACACTGGTGATATCACAGAGCCCCTAATCCCGTTCCTGGGATATATATTTTTTTTAACCCCTGGAGGGTAAACAAAGTTCCTGGAAAAAATCCCATGGTAAGATGTCAAGCTTTACTCAAGCCAACGCATGATGATATTATTGTGAAATTAGATACTAATTTAAACTTCAACTGATTTCTGCCTTAGATAACTTAACTTTCCAGTCTTTGAACAAAACCTTGAGATTCATTTCCCATTCCACGAAGTGTTTCTGTAACAAATTCTCTATAAAGATTCAGCTGCTCAAGAAAGCCGTACCATTCAGAGGGTTCCTTAATGTCATGCGTGATGTGATTGTTACATTTAGCTTTATTTCAAGGAAGTTTTCTCCTTGTCTGCTTATTGTTGAGTCTTTTTGCTTTTGAATTTTTAATCAGGAACTTCTGTGTAGTCTCTTTTCTTTTTCCAGTTTTCCTGAAGTGCTGTCATGCAATGAAGCCTTCTTTTCTGTGGGTAATGCTTTGACCTGGCTGAAGGTCACCAAGTGTTTAAAACAACTCATAGGCACCTAATACTGATAGTTTATAAATTAATCATTATTCCTGCAGAAAAGCTTCCAAGGGCTTTGAAATAAAGAGATAGGACTGAAAGGGAAAAGTAAAACAAATCAATAAATCAAGTATACTTGTCTTGATGTTCTCCAATCTTCCTCTCAACTGAGTCAGCTACAAACTCCAAACCCCAACGTTTAGGGTCTTGTTAATTCTGTTAATGACATGTCAGATTGACTAATTGTGCTTCGCAAAGGCAGTCTCTTCCTTAGTTCAAGAGAAATGGTTTGGCTTATCAAATAAACACACATGCCAAGCTTTGAATGATTCCTTTCGTTTTCTCTAATTACTAAAGAATGGAGGAAAATAGGAAAGAGGACCAAACTTCTGGGAGCATTCTCTTTGAAATTTATGCAGAGGTCATTTGACTGCATCCAGTCAAACAAATGCAATGGTATATGGTCCTCTTGTAGTTGGGCTCCGTGGGGGAATGGTGGTCAAAAGTGTAGAGAAAGAGAAAGCAACAGAGAGAAGAATATAATACTCAACTTATGAGATAGATTTCTTTATGGTGTATAACTGATTGACAATTGAAAATATTATACTCAGGTGTTTACCTAAGAGGGTTCTAGGAACAAGAAAGGAAAGATAAGGCAGACATAGTGGTTAGCTTTAGTAAAGGACAGGATTGCAATTACACCTTGTCTGGAATAGCTGACTTTGATCCTTCAATAAAGCTGCGCTTTCCTCTAGCTTTGTAGTTGATTGGCCATCTCAGTCAGTACCTTGAGTGCAGCAGACAGTGAGCTAGGGCTTCACAACGGATGAAGGTCATCCCGTTTCTGTCCTCAAAGCGATTGCTGAGATGAGGTGGAGTCCTCAAGAGAGATGGGGCCACAGAGGTAGGCAGGGATTTCAAGGAGAAAAGTCTTGAGCATTGCTGCCCTAGCGAGTAGGGATTTTCTTGGATTGGTTATCAACCTGTGGGTACAGGTCGTTTAATGGGAGAATACACGACTCACTGCAGAATGCAAAACGGAATGCATTCAAATGGGGGTCAAGAATGTGGTAGAGACGGGATTGGATGCGCAGAACTGGTGTCTCACACACCAGGTGAATGGATGTTGGGTCTGCTCAGGGATGGATAAGCAAGAGCCAGGACTTGTTATCAAGAGCAGGAGGGACATGCGAAGGCAGACCCAGGGAATAGATTCATGATGACTGTGTCCCGTGGAAGGTAGAGCAGCTGAGGAGCTGCTGCGACACTGCTTAGAGCCAAGGAGGAGAGGGGAATCCAATCTCCTTGTCCTGCCTTTCATTCTCTCCCAGTGCCTCCCACTGACCACAACCTGCCAGCAGCCCAATGACTTCAGTGTGTCATCTGAAAGTCAGTCCAGCCATGCTGCAGATCAGGGCAGGGGAGGGTGAAAAACGGAGATGGGGGCACACACACAGGCATTGTCTGTGGGCTGGATAAATACGATTCACTTACCCCTGGAGCTTCAGCCTGTCATGATTAACAAACCACAGTTTATTAAACACTCATTTAAAAGAGGTTCTGAATGAACAGATTTCTGTGATTTTATTTGAAAGGAACTGCCACTAGGATGTTGACCTCTGATGGAGTTCTTAAACAGACCTTGAAAAGGAACTTTTCTGCTGAAAAATCAACATGTGGTTTTGTGCAATTTGGAGACATTGAGAAAAATAATATGATTGAGTGGGAATTTCAAATTATTTTCAGGCCAGAGTAGTCTGTTCAGCTGGAGTCAAGAGCCTTAGAGTACAGATGCTGTTTTGTTGTCTTATTTATTCAGGGTAAATCCTAGTTAAAGATTTTTATTTTAATGTTGGCTGAATACTGGTTTCAATAGGTGTCAAAGGTGTGATGGATCATTCGTATCTAACTTTGCCTGTACATTGAGAGAATAAACTAGGAAGTGAATGCAAGTAAGAGTAAAAGGTAAGTTGGAGGGCTAGCAGGGTAATTACGGTAAGAGATTAAGGAGGAGAAAATCCGTGTGGTGGAAATGATAGGACACAAGTGGGAAAGGATTTGGAGAACAGTCTTAGAGTTCTGTCATGTGTGGAAGCTGAAGGAGAAGGAACAGTTACTTTCTTTTAATTTTAGAAGGCCTAATCATTAACACTGGTTAAAATAGGACACAGAAAAGGAAAAAGAATACTGGGGACAAATGGTGAAGAAAATGTCCGTATTTCTAGATTCGGTGCATAGAGGGAAATGGGGGTCAGCCTTGGATCATTCTCCCTGTTGCCTGTGTAGAGTTCTGCTGTGTTAACTGGTGAGTTTATTTCAGATCACTCAACACAAAACAGCAGTTCAAAACCAGCTACACATTTTCATTCCTGCCACGTGCCCTAGAAAGAATAGCTATGAGGCAGACTGCTGAGTTTATCTTCCTTTTTTTATGGCCCCAGAGTTCAGGTACCAAGCAAAGGATTTTAATGTTTGCCCTTTTTTTATACAATATGTTGCTGAATATTTATCCATTTAAATCAGCCAAGATATGAAAAGAAACTTTGTTCATTTATCATAAAATTAATTTATAGCAGCTATAAAATTGATCAAGCCATCGGACCAACGTTCTGGCACGGTGTATTAAGCTGCCAGCTACAACAATGGCATCGCATATCTGAGTGCCAATTTCAGTTTGAGTGCTGGTCAATTTCTGATTTAGCTTCTTGATAATGTAACTTGAAAAACAATGAATGATGGCCTAAGTTCTTGGATCCCTGGATGAAATTCTAGCCCCCTGGTTTGGGCCTGGCCCAGTACTGGCCAAGAACTTGATGAACAACTAGCATATGGAAGGTGTTTTTTTTCTGTAGTTGGTATTCTGTTTTACTGTTATAATAACATTCCAAGTATCTGTTTAGGCTTATTTATATGGGGGTAAATGGAGTTACTAAACACTTGCTATATTAAAATTTTATGTTCTGTGACATTTACAGGATTAGACGGCAAGATTTTTCAATCCCAACAAAATTAAACCAATCCATTTGTGATGTTCCTTTGCCTCATCCTTGTGCTTTCCTGGTTCCATATATATGTTTATTTGTAATTTCAGGTGCTTGCCCTGTTTGGGGACCAAAAAGAGCTGTGCTGAAAATGGGCCCAATAAGTACAGAAGCAGATGAAAACCAAACAGTGGAAGAAATGAAGACAGAACAGTACGGGCCAGGGCACATCAGTCCTAGAGATGAGCTGGCTCCTGATCCTGAACCGGAGCTCATAGATAGCACCAAGCTCATTGAGGTACAGGTGGTGCTCATACTGGCCTATTGCTCTATCATCTTGCTTGGAGTCATTGGCAACTCTTTAGTGATCCACGTGGTGATTAAATTCAAGAGCATGCGCACAGTCACCAATTTTTTCATTGCTAATCTGGCAGTGGCAGATCTGCTGGTGAACACGCTATGCCTGCCATTCACTCTTACCTATACCTTAATGGGGGAGTGGAAAATGGGTCCCGTTCTATGCCACCTGGTGCCCTATGCCCAGGGACTGGCAGTGCAGGTGTCCACCATCACCTTGACCGTCATTGCCCTGGATCGGCACCGATGCATCGTCTACCATCTGGAGAGCAAGATCTCCAAGCGAATCAGCTTCCTGATTATTGGCTTGGCCTGGGGCATCAGCGCCCTGCTAGCAAGTCCCCTGGCCATCTTCCGAGAGTACTCACTGATTGAGATCATCCCAGACTTTGAGATTGTGGCCTGTACTGAGAAGTGGCCTGGGGAGGAAAAGAGCATCTACAGCACGATTTACAGTCTCTCCTCCTTACTCATCCTCTATGTCTTGCCGCTGGCAATCATATCATTCTCCTACACTCGCATCTGGAGCAAACTGAAGAATCACGTCAGCCCTGGAACTGCTAATGACCACTACCATCAGCGGCGGCAGAAAACCACCAAGATGCTGGTGTGTGTGGTGGTGGTGTTTGCGGTCAGCTGGCTGCCCCTGCATGCCTTCCAACTGGCCGTGGACATTGATAACCAAGTCCTGGACTTGAAGGAGTACAAACTCATCTTCACTGTGTTCCACATCATTGCCATGTGTTCCACCTTCGCCAACCCCCTTCTCTACGGCTGGATGAACAGCAACTACAGAAAGGCCTTCCTCTCTGCCTTCCGCTGTGAGCAGAGGATGGACGCCATTCATTCAGAAGTGTCTGTGACATTCAAGGCCAAAAAGAACCTGGAAGTCAAAAAGAACAATGGCCGTCTGGACTCTTTCACAGAGGCTACCAATGTCTAAGGGAACTGTGACAAGAACATAAGGGTGAATTCTAATCAGAGCCAACAATCTGGTTGATCAAGGCTCACAAGTGTATCCTGATTTCCCACTTTATGGAAGAAAAAAAAATATGTCAACAGAAGCATCTGCAAGGTAGTTTCTGGAAGATAGTGGGCAAATTCAAGACGAAAATAGTTGTACGCAAAGGTAGGGCAGCAAAGTGGTTTAATCACAGCAGCTGGAATGTTAGGTGGGTGAAGCAGAACAGTAAAACGGAAAGAAATACTTGAGACTATTTTCTGACGCTGGAGGAAACAGGAAACCAGCAATTGACGTGAGCGGCATCACTGCACGGAGTTGAGTTAAAGACTCTACAATCATGCTGGGACCCAGGTTGGGGATGCTGTGTAATCAAGGCGTTTCCTCATCTGATGGAAAAGCTACTGAGAGAAGTCTGGGTGGCAGGCCACAGGATTGCTTTGAATGCATGTTGGTTTTATTTTTCCTTCGGCAGAGTGAATTAATCAGGAAATGCTGTGTGCAAACATTGCATGTAAACCGTTTGAATGCCTTCCAGGAAATTAACTGGAAGTTTGCTGTACTCATATAATTACTATATTGGCAAATTATGGGTGCAATCCTGCACTCCCGGTGAGGTAGTCATCCCTAATGCATGTTTAGTGAGAGTGTTCAGACAGCAAGGCTGAGATTCTCAGAATTCCAAGAAATGCCAACAGTCGTTGAATTTCTCAAGATATTCCTCTTGAAATAGGTATACTTAGATAACTATACACACACCTTATTATTTTTAATTAGTGCGAATTGTAATAATTTTTGAAATGGTTTGAGTTAATATCTTTTTCCTCTAAGTTTTTCTGCACTGTAAATTAAAGGACTATAAAACTGGTTTGTGCGTCATTTCGTAACATTTTATGGTAACTTGTAAGCAAGTTTTGCACATGTTCATAGCTCTAAGGTGTTAACAGAATACCATAGTGTTACCTTCTTTGTAACTCATCTTCTGAGGACCCAATACAGATAAATTGAGCATTTTAATTTAATTAAAATGGACCAAATTAGTAAGAAATAGTGAAAAAGATTGTATTCGTTTTGCCTTGCAACATCCTGTTTCAATCAATTTCACACAATTTATTTATCATGTTTTCAAAATAATTAACTACATTTTTTATTAACATGAATATATGCATATAAAATTGTACCCAAATGTAGTGGAAGAAAGATGCTACAGTATTTTTTATTGAAAGATGTTATTAATACAATTTTCTTTGTATTGTGTCCAACCAAAGACATTTAAACCACATTATGTACATAAAAATAGTGGAAATTTTAAAAAGTCATATTTCTTTGGATGTAATAAAAGAAGTCTCACTGTAGTCATGTTTTTGTAAATAATGACAAAATTTTACAGAAATTCAACAAAAGTATATAGTTACTTGCAACATCAATTTTACGAACTGAGGGGTTATTTTATGGATAAAATTGGAATTTATGTTAGAAATAAAAGAAAAATCTTGAAGAGAACAGCAGTTTTGGAATACTGATAACAATAAAGATAAGATTAGAGATTAGGTGGGAAACAAATGAAGGAAATAAGAAATGACGTCTGTCTGTCATGTAGAATGTAACTGACGAATTGCTTTATTGTTTTTGGTAGGATTCAGTATGTCCAAGAAAAAGCTTTTTTTCTTTTTTGCCTTTTAAATGGCAGTCACTTCACTTAGATGTAAATGCGTTTAAAATGACTCTCCTCTCCACAAATGTTACACACACACAAAATGTATGTGCTCCCGTATCACTTGTTGTGGTAGGAAATTATTAGAGTTCCATTAACATGTATCTAACATAGTTCATTGTGTCCATTCATTGATAAACCATCTTATTATGTAATGATTTTATTGCCGAAATAAAAAAAAATGGGGACGTGAAATAAACTGTGTGGAATTTCATAGCAGGGTTCTTCTCTGAGATTTAAAACTTTGTGATACAAAGGGAGAGGGAGATGAACATGACCCCTCCAAAGCTACTGAAGTTCCCCCTTCCAGCTGTAGCTGAACCTAAGTTGAGGAACCACTCTTGCAACCGAAATTATTATTTCTAAACCTTACCTTTCAAAAAATTTCAAAAATATATTACTTATTTCTTTTTTTATTATTATCATTTTGTAATACAGTTCCGCAGGCCCTGGGATTTCCCTTGCTCCCTCTCCAAGTCCCTCTCCCCTGCCCCTACTGAGCTCCCCTAAATCATTACTGTAGTATAGTTCTTAATAGACAGTCTTATGTCCATTATTGCTGGCATGGACAAATGCAGAGTCCAGCATCCCATTGTTAAGATATACTCAACAGGTTCATTGGGAGTCTATCTTTGTCTGGAAGTAGAAATGCATACTGCCTTGTATCCTCTCATCTGGATATAGTAGTCTCCGTTTCACAGTTACTATACATCCCCTTAAATGGAAAGCCACAAAACAAAATCAACAACAGGAAGAGAAAAAGGAATTAAAAATGCCATGAAGTTAAATAACATGTCACTGAATGACTACTGTGTCATTGAAGAAATGAAAAAAAAAATCAAGAACCTTCTTGAAGAAAATGATGTTACTGTGTGATCTATGAATCAGTGAAGAACTTAATGAGAAACAAACTGTTTTGAAGAGATGAAAGTAAAAAAAAAATCCAAAAATCAAAATCCATAAGATATGGTTTCCACTGATCTTTATTGATGAGATGTCTCCTTTTCTGTTAAGAGAACAGGGAAGTTAACAAATTGCACATTATGCAAATAGTTTCATGGTTATACCTGATGACATTAAACAGAAGTAGGAATTTTATTTAACAGAAGGTTACTAAGAATCGATTTGTGAAGATGTGTAAAGAAGCTTGTCTGACTATTGGCCTTTTTCTGCCTGGGTACCCCAGACAGGTGTTCACAGACTACCCAGTTACTCCTGGGTGCGGAAGAGATGATGAGAAGGATCGCAGGTTAGGGCAAATCATTTGCTCATCTTCCTACTTTTGTACACTGCAGGATAGGTACCTGAATGAAAAATAAGTGGAAATGCCAAACTCTTTATATAATAACATCCATTATCTGTGTGCCAATCACACAAAAGTTGATTCTATGACCTCTGAGTCACAGTTATGTCAGCTAAAACGAAGTGTTTTCAGAGTATTCCAAAACCTCAAGATAAATACGTTTTTTATCTAGGTTAATACAGTTATAATGTTTTGTTTATTTCAGTTTAATATACCCAAGTGTGGGATAATGTATTATTCTATAATGAATTACCCCTCAAGCAAAAGGAATTTAACCAATGCATATACATGAGTTATTTATGTATTTTAATATATGGAAATTTATATTATACATACATGGGTATACTTTTTCATGTTTATGAAACTATATATTCCTATGTATCAGGAATGGTATACCTTTCCACTTGCTAGACCTTTTCAGTGTATATATTCTAATTAAAACTTGGGCATGAATTGAAAATTGTAGCTACTCAGTGTGTACTTTGAATACTTGATTTGATCCCTAGCTAATTTAGAGTGGGGTTTGACTTTCCCCACTAACATCTGTGCACAGTCAGCCCTAGAACTGTGTCTCAGCTGTAGTGCAGAGAGGGCTCTTCAGACACAATCACTGCCTCAAGCTGGCGGGCTGGTGGTGGCGGGTAGGCTGGGTGTCCCTTCCTAAGGCTCAGTTTTAGGGAGCTACCACATCACAACTGTCAGGAACAGACCTCTGTTCCCCCCGTGGTGTGTACCCAGCATGTATTCCTGCTCTTCCTCTAAGGATGGGTCTCCTGTTCTCCTCCGCTGTCAGTCATCTGAAGGTGAATGTGATGCTTTCCTTCCTCTCACAGGCTTGGGATCCATGTGAGATGTGGGAAAGGCTGGAGTCTCTTGAACGTGCAGCTAAGTTTCTGTTCCCCTACCTCGAGTCCACACCCAAACCAACAGTTTCTTCAGATTGTCCGGTCCTTTCTGTGTGTGCATAATGGGTGTCATGAAAAAAAAAAATCTACAGGATGGTGTGGACTGCTCCAAGTGCTAAAGCTCTCTTGGTGTCTGGGTTGTGTCTGGCCATCCTTGTAAGCTCCCAGGCCTATGCTGATGTGTCCTCTAGTAGCTGAATTCCTTCTGTAATAGCCAGTGCATCTGATAACTAAAGACTTATTCTGCTCCCCCCCCTCTCCTGCAGATACTTGTCTCCCCTTTGCTTCTCTGATAGTTTATAAAAGAATCATGCATTTGAAGTTTGCTCAATTATTTTTGTTATAAGACAGAGAGTGTTCTGTTCTTTGTGTTCTGGAGAGGAAACTAAATGTCCTCTGTGAGATTTTTTTTTTTTTGCATTCTTTTAAGAATAATAAGCCTGCAAAAATCTGGTGTAAGTCTCTCAGTTACAGTGTACTTCAATTTGGATTAGCAGCACTGTCAGTACTCAGCGTGGAGTTCACAGCCTCCTCCCTGAAGAGAGCTCAGCTCTGAATGCCTTGTGCATACTGGTGGTGATATGCATTTTGTTGTCATCCACTAGGACAACAAAACGCACAGACTGAATGGCTTGTGCGTGATCAACATTTGTTTCTCGTGGTTCTGAAGGGTGGGATGTCCAAGAACAAGACTCTGGTGTCTAGAACTGTGTCTCAGCTGTATGATGATATGTTCTCCTTGCACCTGCAGATGATGGAGGAGGCAAAGTTTCTTGAGGCCCCCTTCTTATAAGAGTTCTGATCCCATCCAGGAGGGCTCTGCATTGGTGCTTCAAAGGCCCTCAAAGGCCCCCAGTTCCTAATATTCTGCACAATAGAGGCTCAGATTGCAATATGATTGTGTGTGTGTGTGTGTGTGTGTGTGTGTGTGTGTGTAGGGGGCACGCAGCAGTTCAGACTATAACATGTATCTTAATGCTCCTGGATTTTATCCTATCCGAATCATGTTGTATTTTCATATTTTTGTGATTTTCATTCTTATTCTTGCTATTTTCTGAATAACCATAAGATCTGAATGTGGAAAAG